GGGGGGGGGGGGGGGGGGGGGGGGGGGGGGGGGGGGGGGGGGGGGGAGTGTGGCTGTTGTTCCATTTGATTTCAGCAACATATGCAGGAGGTTATGGAAGGATATTAGCAACACGGACAATTAACGAAGTCTTTAGAAAGACAATTTATACATCTTAAGAGCTGCTGTCAGGGGATAAACCATTAGACAATGAAGATGTGAGCGGTTCCAATAATTAGAAGTTATTCAAGTGTACAATTTAAGTTCAGTTTCGTCCTAAGAAAGTGACAGGAAATATTGCCCCATCTATAATTTGATAGAGTAGACATTTTACTCACTGCTTCAAATTTAGTCCTTAAATAATCCAGGGTTGCGGATTTTAGCAAGCCCGCTGTAACGGATCTTGTAAGCGACATTCCTCCCTTGGGTTTCCGCTGGTCCTGCTCTTTGATTCTGGCCACTGTAAGCCACTGTGTAGTTCTGGTTTCGTCTGTGAAATTGCAGTTTAGCCTTTCTTCAGCATTTCATGGAGAGGTCTAACGGGAGGCATCGTGATTTAGCGCACTTCCCGGAGTGAGCGTGATAACAGGTTGTGGCGGCTGACGGTTGCGAGTTCTCCCTTCCTTGCCATCATCAGCTCCCCCCATTTTTCACAATAATGCCTCACGACCGAGAAAATTATTGTCTTTTTTTTTTTTCGAAATGACTTTAACTGGCCTGCCGAAAAGGACTTGGTGACTGGGATCAACTGGAAGCCGAACGGCAGGCTACAGAACTGAAAGTGGTATTTTGGCAGGTTTGTTCATTGTGGCTGACTGACTAGGCGGGAGCTGAATGGAGGTTTCTGGGGTCACGTCTGTGGAAGGCGAGTGCAGGAACTGCCATTATCACCTTTTTTTGCATTATTTAATGCCTGCCTCTCAAGTCCACGGTCGGCTGCCCGAACATGGTTTCGAAAACACTGGTAAACCACAGCTCAGTCCACGACTGTAATTACTGCATGTGCATTATATATATATATATATATATATATGTTCCTGCTGGTGGACGCTGGTGTTCCGGCTGCTGTGGGCACCTCGGTGTCCTGTGGGAGAGCAGCAACGGGGGCGGACGTCGTGTGGGAACCCAAAAATAACCAGCAGCCTGTGGTTCTCCAACGAGCCCTGCTCTCTCCGGCGGCTGACAGACTGCTGACAGGCCTTAAGAGCTGAGAATGAGAGGGTGTGATCCACAAGGGTACCCAGGAGGGATAGTGGGGGTGAGGGTCCTGTTCGGCCCTGGATGCATGTTGTAAGGTGGGGGTTTGTGTGCATGTGGCCCAAAACCTCGGTTATCGTGGTCTCCGTCCCGAGTGCCTGTTTGGATGCAAAGGCCCGTTTTACATTCTGTTAGTGCCGTGGTGCTGCAGCGACCTCTAGGGGCCTGACTCTGTCTCCTCTTTGCAGCTGGACCACCGGAAAGTGGGGGCCATGCAGCCAGTCCTGTGGGGGCGGCCAGCAGACGAGGCCTGTCCGCTGCCTCCGCAAAGTGACCTACCAGCGCGAGGAGGTGGCCCCACACTCCATCTGCCCCGTCTCGGCCCCCGCCGAGGTGCAGACCTGCAATGCGGTGCCCTGCCCCCCCCAGTGGGACTCAGGGCCGTGGTCACGGGTGAGCCCACCTCTCTCTAGCTGTTGTCACAGCTTGCGATGGAGGATTCCCACCTAACGGTATCCAGTCTCACTCTTACTGAGACGCTAAAATGCTCTAAATCATAACCCAGTACCACTGCTCCTGACTTCAATTCTATGAGCCTGAGGTCTTTGTCAGGTTATATTAAAAGAAAATCCCCTAAAGTTCATTAACATGGAGCTCGAAATACAGTATTAAAAACACGATTCATGTTCCAACATATCAGCAAATCATTTCTTTTATGTCTGAGATGGAAGCTACACTACCCTCTAGTGGCATTTTGGTGAATTACAATCTAATTATGCATTTATGCTTATTGGCATAAAACACAAGCAGTCTAAATGTCTGTGGGTGAAGAACCTTGCAGCAATAGCGAGACAGTCCACAGGGGAACGTGGCACGCATGTGCACGTACAGAAGAGGGCAAAGCGTCCAAGCACTGTCAGCACGTCAGTGACGAGCCACGCGGTTCCGCCACGGTGCCCCTCACGCCTCCGCACCCTGGCGGCACCGGATTAGTCTGCGATTCACCGGCTCTGCGGGTCTGCGCTCCCCAGCTGCCCTCAGCCGCGATGGCGCGATCTGTCTTCATCAGCGGGTGACAGGGATCTCCACGCGGGCGCCACAGAAAAGGGCATCCGTCAGCGGGGCCTGGGAGGGCGGCGCGGGGCTGGGGAGGGTGTGACATTTGGAGGAGCGCGGCCACAAGGGCCCTGGGGGGGGGGGGGCACATCTGTTATTCACGTCATAAAAGCCCCCCCCCCCCATTTGAAGTATACAGCACATGACAGAGTGGTGAGGAAGCTGTGTGTGCCCCATTCTGACCCCATGATGGACTGATGGAAAGCCCCTGGGCTTTAGTGTCAGCTGGGGGGGGGGGGTTTGCATGTACTTAGCAGATGCTTTTATTCAAACAGACATATAGATTTTTGAGAAAGCAGCATCAGACAGTTGGGGGTTAAGGGCCCAACGCTCAAGGGCCCAATAGTGAAATGACTCTCCTGACCCTGGGATTTGAACAGGTGACCTTCTGATCACAGACCCACTGAACCACACACTCCTATTGCTTGAATAGCAGGCCCCTGTTTCGATGCCTGGATTGTGGGATTACATGGTAATATCTGCAGTTCAGTCGGGGCTGAGTCCTGTATATTTGTGTTGTTGACCTGGGGGGGTCGTTGCCGTGGAAACGTTACAATCCCAAGCCACGTGATGTCACTTCCAGTGCTCCAAGACTTGTGGCCGTGGACTGAGGAGACGCGCCGTGTCCTGCCGGGCTGGGGATGGAGAAGGTGACGCTGCCATGGTGCCAGATAACCGGTGTGACGTCCGACACCGACCCGAGGAGCAGGAGACCTGCGTGGTGCGACGCTGCCCGAAGAACGAGCGGCTGCAGTGGGTGGTCACACCCTGGGGTGAGGTGAGGATACGCAGGTTTGGGGGGGGCGGGTAGGGGGGCACACACACTTACACACAAATATACACAGACCTATACATTACAGTGCCCGGGCAAAAAAAAGTTGCTATTTGAACTTATATCGGCAAATACTTAAGAGCCAATGACTGGATCATTATGCAGTATAATAAAGTGAAGTCAGCTGAGTACCAATATCTACTGGCCAGGGTACACCTCCATCCATCATCAATGGATTTTTTTACTTCCCTGTTGGCATGGGCATATTCCAGGGCAAGAATGCCAAGATTCACTGGGTTTGAATTGTGGATCAGGGAGCATGAGGAATCATTTTCACACATGACTTGGTCACCACAGAGTTGTGACCTTAACCCCATTGAAGGTCTTTGGGATGTGCTGAAGGAGGCTTTACGGAGGTTCAACTCGCTTGTCAATACAGGATCTCTGTGAGAAATTAACGTAAATCTGGATGAAAATAAAGGGTGAGATGTTGCATAAGCTTGTGGAAACAATGTCATGACAAATGTGCGCCATAATCAAAGCTAAAGGCGGTCCAATGAAAAATTCAAATGGCAACTTTTTTTTGGCCAGGTAGTGTATCTACCAAACAGCGAATGCCATCCCTGTAAAGTAGCTAAACCCGTCCACACGTCGCACCAGTGGCCACTGAAGGCCGGGTCAGAACCAGGAATACCGACGATCGCACCCTGAGAGCAGCTCCTTCAGCCAGTACGGAAAGCGCCAGAAACAGTTGAATGGGAATAAAAACCACCGACTGAAAACAACCAGTTGTGTTAATGCTGATGTGAAAACCATGGCGAGCCGCCCACTGCGTGCAGTCCCAGGGACGGAGATTAATGGAAATGTGCAGCAAAGGTCCCTCACTCACCACTTATGAAGAACGAACCAAGAGTTTTATAAATGTATAACCATGTGTGTGGTTCATGTTCCTGGGAAAAAGCGCAGGAATGTTTCAGCACCAAAGCCGTCGTCGAGTTCCCCAAGTGCGTGGTATTCAAACAGGGAGTCAGTTTCCGCTGCAATAATGTCGTTTCTTTGTGCTTTTTCCTGGGCCTGGCGGGGGGGGGGCACAGTGTTCCACGTCCTGTGGGACGGGGTCTCAGAAACGGGAGCTTCGGTGCGCTGAGAAGGGCCCCCAGGGGGAATATACGGAGTTTCCCGTGAGAAGGTGCCGGAACCTGCCCAAACCCGTCCTGGAACTCCAGCAGTCCTGCAGCAGGGAGGCATGCCCAAAATTTGGAGGAGGTCCCGACCAGAGCTCCAATGCTGTGCCGTTGGGATGGTACACCTCCCCCTGGCAAAAGGTTAGGTCTGACACAACAAAACTGGGGTAGCAACTTTTGCTCAATTGGCCTGCAAGGCATTCTGGGTAACATGTCACTTGATTTAACCTGCAAATGGCCTGACCTTCGGTCCTCCCTGGTTGTGCTGCCAGTGTACGGTGTCCTGCGGAGGGGGGGTACAGATCCGCAGTGTCCAGTGCCTGCAGCATAACCGGCTGGCCTCGGGGTGCCCATCCCACCAGAGACCCTCCCCATCCCGAGCCTGCAACATTCACTTCTGTCCTGCCCCTGGCCCTGCCCACAGAGGTAAGGCCCCACCCTTCACCTGCCACCACACTACACACAACAATAGTAGAACACATGTCTCCTATTTTATGTGAGTGTAGGCATTGAAATTGATGGACTTGTATCTGTGGATTTAGCAAATGATTAAGACGACCTCGAGTTATTAAAAGGAGAGATACTGTCTGAATTTGTTTTCAAAAAGAGATCAACAGATTATTATTTGGTTCTGTCCTAAATGAAGCACTGTACTATGTTGACGTTCTTTGATATTGATGAAGCACTGTACTATGTTGACGTTCTTTGATATCGATGAAGCACTGTACTATGTTGACATTTTTTTATATAGATGAAGCACTGTACTATGTTGACGTTTTTTGATATAGATGAAGCACTGTACTATGTTGGCGTTCTTTGATATAGATGAAGCACTGTACTATGTTGGTGTTCTTTGATATAGATGAAGCACTGTACTATGTTGGCGTTCTTTGATATAGATGAAGCACTGTACTGTGTTGACGTTCTTTGATATAGATGAAGCACTGTACTATGTTGACGTTCTTTGATATAGAATTGAATATAGGAACTGAGGAAATACGTGATAATTGGGATAATCTGCACAATGAACTGGTGCGTATGACCAAGGATGACTAGATGTTTCGTTGTTCTCCAGGTGAGCAGCCCTGTGTGGATTATTTCAGCTGGTGTCACCTGGTTCCCCAGCACGGCGTGTGCAACCACAAGTTCTACGGGCAACAGTGTTGCAAGTCCTGCTCCAACAAGGCTCGGTAGCCAAGCCCATAACCGTGCTAGGGCTGATATCATGGATCAGGATGAACAAAACAAGAGCCGGAGACTGGAAGCTGGAAACTGGGAGCTCGAAACCCAAACTGGTTTTGGGTGGACAACACAAGGGGGAGGCTAACACACCAGCTTCTTTTCCTGAAGCACGTCCTCGGTTTGTAGGAAGGCAGGAAAGCGAGATGTACCGCACGAGTGACTCTTGATGACATATATTCGTGACGGCTATGTTGGACAAATCCCCCAAACGTGTTTCCTTGTCAAGTCATATAAACTTATCAGTCGTTTTTCATAACTGGAAATGCTGTACAGGGAAGCTTCCGCTCAGATTACCTTCCTTGTATATTTGTGTTTTTTGGTTTTGATGTCATGTTTCGTGATGGTAACCATCCATTTTTAAGCTATTATGGAAATTCTAAAGAACCCCACCTGTTGTTACATTTATATATTTGTATATTTAAAAATACCGGATTTCAAGCTGATGTTAGTGGACTTTAACTTATTATGGGTTGCCTGTCAATGGAGTGCAGGCGTGTGGCTTCATCAGTGTGGTCTAGGTCTCGTGTGAAGCAGTGTCTCACCTTGACAGATTGTACGTGCACTTATCCTGTCTGGCTGCCTCACTCCTTGTTATCGGTGGTGCTCATTTTGTCCTGATACAAGGGAGATAATTTCAGCTACAGTGGAGGAAATAATTATTTGACCCCTTGCTGATTTTGTACGTTTGTCCAATGACAAAGAAATGAAAAGTGTCAGAACAGTATAATTTCAATGGTAGGTTTATTTTAACAGTGACAGATAGCACATCAAAAGGAAAATTGAAAAAATAACTCTAAATAAAAGATAGAAACTGATTTGCATTTCATTGAGTGAAATAAGTATTTGAACCCCTACCAACCATTAAGAGTTCTGGCTCCCACAGAGTGGTTAGACACTCCTACTCAATTAGTCACCCTCATTAAAGACACCTGTCTTAACAAGTCACCTGTATAAAAAACACCTGTCCACAGAATCAATCAATCAAGCAGACTGCAAACTCTCCAACATGGGAAAGACCAAATAGCTGTCCAAGGATGTCAGAGACAAAATTATAGACCTGCACAAGGCTGGAATGGGCTACAAAACCATTAGCAAGAAGCTGGGAGAGAAGGTGACTACTGTGGGTGCAATTGTTTGAAAATGGGAGCACAAAATGACCATCAGTCGACCTCGGTCTGGGGCTCCACGCAAGATCTCACCTCGTGGGGTGTCAATGATTCTGAGAAAGGTGAGAAATCATCCTAGAACTACATGGGAGGAGTTAGTTAATGACCTCAAAGTAGCTGGGACCACAGTCACCAAGAAAACCATTGGAAACACATTAAAATCCCCTGCTCAAGAAGGCACATGTGCAGGCCCGTCTGAAGTTTGCCAATGAACACCTGAATAATTCAGAGTGTGACTGGGAGAAGGTGCTGTGGTCAGATGAGACCAAAATTGAGCTCTTTGGCATTAACTCAACTCGCCGTGTTTGGAGGAAGAAAAATGCTGCCTATGACCCCCAAAACACCGACCCCACCGTCAAGCATGGAGGTGGAAACATTTTGCTTTGGGGGTGTTTTTCTGCTAAGGGCACAGGACAACTTCACCGCATCAACGGGAAAATGGACCGAGCCGTGTATCGTAAAATCCTGAGCGACAACCTCCTTCCCTCTGCCAGGAAACTGAAAATGGGTCGTGGATGGGTGTTCCAACACGACAATGACCCAAAACATACAGCAAAGGCAACAAAGGAGTGACTCAAGAAGAAGCACATTAAGGTCATGGAGTGGTCTAGTCAGTCTCAGAACCTTAATCCAATAGAAAACCTATGGAGGGAGCTGAAGCTCAAAGTTGCACAGAGACAGCCTCGAAACCTTAGTGATTTAGAGATGATCTGCAAAGAGGAGTGGACCAAAATTCCTCCTAAAATGTGCGCAAACTTGGTCATCAATTACAAGAAACGTTTGACCTCTGTGCTTGCAAACAAGGGTTTTGCCACTAAGTATTAAGTCTTTTTTGTTAGAGGGTTCAAATACTTATTTCACTCAATGAAATGCAAATCAGTTTCTATCTTTTATTTTTAGTTATTTTTTTAAATTTTCCTTTTGATGTGCTATCTGTCACTGTTAAAATAAACCTACCATTGAAATGATACTGTTCTGAGACTTTTCATTTCTTTGTCATTGGACAAACTTACAAAATCAGCGAGGGGTCAAATAATTATTTCCTCCACTGTATATGTTTGAGTACAGGTATAGTTTTTTTTTTTTTTTTAAATCATTGTGTTTATATACAGTTGTATGTTTCATACAAGAATCGGTTGTGTGCTGAGTCTTTGTTAGTCTAAAGTGGCCTGAGAGGATTTTTTTTTTGCATTTTGGTGCCCTAGCTAGCACACAGGCTCACTCTGATAATATCTATATGAAGGGTCACCAACCCTTGAGGGTTTTTAGCAAATACATTTTAATTAGTAGCTGTCCGACAGCCAAAATACCAGGTGAGGCGGATTGCTATCAAAATAATTACTTCAATAAAGCAATTATCGACTTGGCCTCGAAGGACCCCGTAGCCCGCGAAGGACAGAGGTTGGTGACTGCCACCTAGAAAAACAAATGACCTGCCCTGTCTCCAGCCAATCACGTCTATGGCCTGCAGGTATTGGCTCTTAGCACTGAGCAGGGCCCTCCCCCGGCGGAGACGACTCGGCTTAGATTACTTAAAGGACACAAAGGTCTATCATTGGCACACTGAGAACAGTATTTAAATTAGTCAGGTTAAATAAATAGCTTCAATTACTGCTAGAATTCCTATAGGAAATTTTCTACTTATTAAAACTTTGTTGTGTTTACTGGAGAGAAACATGGGATAATTCATTTTAAATTCCTAAAAGTTTCTGAAGTATTTCTCATAAGTTTGTACTGTAGAAATTAAATACTGACATTTTAAAATGAAATAATTTTGGCTCAATAGTTCGGTAGAACGGTGGTCTCATGCTTCCAGCATTGTGTGTTTGATTCTGTGCCCTTCCAGGACCTGACATCCTGCCCAAGCCCAAGGGGTCCTCTACCTCGTACCTTGTACCTCCTGGGATAAATTTCAGACTTCCTGTGACCTGGTCCTGGATATTTTTCATGCTGTACAAGCAAATCCAATGTCTAAATATGAGTGGTGGGGCTGGTGTGCATTGTGGCGTACGGTAAACATCCTCAGTGGTGCTGTCCAAGGATTCTTTTATGGATTAAACCTTTACCTCCATTCTTAAGAATCAACCTTGTGGGGTAGCTGGGAAATGTCACCCCTCCACCCGTCAGGTGTGGTCTCTCCCCCACGTCGCTGCTGGAGATCTTCCGGCGAGTTCCGTTTCGCATTCCGCCTATCGCCCGCACGTCACCCTGGACCCAGGAAGCGTGGCGGAGTGGACATCGAGTGGCCATGCCGTTTATTTCTCTGTTCCCTGTCTTCACCACTGGAACAAACCAAATCTGATTGAGAAAATGTCATCCGCCCCCACCGTGCTCCGTGTCACTTCTGGGTAATCGCTTCAATTACATTCCTTTGTGCCCCCCCCCCCCCCATAAAGCAATTTACAGGTGTGGTAAAAACCAGCCTGCGTCTCTGGCTGGCTTTTATTATTAAAATGGCTCTGAAATTTTATCCAAAAAAGTGAAAGACTAAAATACCCGTTTTCTGATGAAAGAGGGCAGCCTAGCCGGGTGAAAAGATAAATACTCTTAACAGCTTCTAGTTTCAGCTCTTTTGACCATTCAGTTATAGTAAAATAAGTGATATTAAATGTCCACCATTATTGTGTTGTTTAGCCAACAATAGCACCAGAAATAATTTCATAGTTCTTCGATTAAACATAGACTTTGTGAGCATGTGACAGTAAATAGAGGGAAGTCAAAGACACTGCTAATTAAATGTGGGGGCAGGGGGGGGGTAATGAAAATAGGTATTTCTCTTTAACAGCACATGTGCGCAGTACACAAGTTGGTAATTTTATTTCATGGAAAAGGGTACAATGAGATACTGTTGTTTAATTGTTCACTAATTACTAAACTAACGAGGTTAGCTTCACTTCTGCTTTATCTGTAGAAGGATTTTTCCATCCTTGTCCTTGATGGCTATATACGACTTCAGAAAATTAAATATCATAATAGTGTTACAAATTAGTTAAATGTGTCTTTATGATATGAGATAATTAGCCTAATCAGTAGCCTTTATTCACTCTGATGGTGATGTTGTTAAACGTATGGAAAAAGCTGTATGAATGAGTGCGCTAACACATTGCTTCAGACATTGCATTAACATTTACGGGCCGGTTACAGCCTGCCGGTTATTCCCACACTGTCACTGCGAGACCAGGAGGCCGGGCAGAACTGGGTACAGGGCAGCTGTGGGGCTGCCAGTGACACTGATGTGGAAATGATTGGACACGCGATCTCCGCACGGACTGCCGCTCCGAGCCGCAAGGGCCGCCTGTCTACCGTGACGCAGGAGCTCTCGGCGCTTCTGCCAAGCATTAGCCTGTCGCTAATTACTTACATTGCTAATCACTGCAGTACATTACAACTATCCTTTTCCAGTGACTGGTAAGTGGCTTGACTGGTTAGGGTGTTGTGTCTGTGGGAAACCACTGGTTCAAATCCCAGCATTAGCAGAGTGATTTCACCACTGGGCCCCAGTGCAAAGGCCCTTAATCCGCCTCCCAGTAGCTCTAGGGAATGTCTGACCTGGCTTTCTCTTTAAAAAAAAATAAAAAAAACGTATGTAGCTTCAGATAACAGCTTTTGCTATAACATAAAGGATTTTTTTTCCTTTTAAGGGGGTCAGGAATTTATTGATAATAATAATAAAAAAAAAACAGCACAGCCATTATCATTTAAATAAAACCCTGGTTTTCTGGCATTTTTATATACATTTTAAATGCTTTTTCCAAGGGAATTATTTTTTGCTGTTTATTGCTATATTTATTGCCATGTTTACAGTATGGGTTAGGCTGCTCCTTCAGTTACTCCTTCCAGCTTAATACACTGTTTACTGTCATTTCATTACAGTTCATATGAATTTCATTCGAGATTTATTTCGTAATTAGTTTAGCCCATTGTCCTCCACAGGAAGCAGTACGCCCGGACGTCTCTTTAAATCCAGCAAGACTGATCACGTAGTCAGGACCCCCGATCATATATAATCCCAGCTTACATTAGCGCCAGACAATTATTACTGATAGGCTGAGCAGCGAATAGAAATTAGGCAGGAACATTTTCTGCAGATTTACATCCCGGGGCCACATAATGACGGCTTCCTCGCAGGGTCTGTGATGTTAAATATCCCTCTGAATTTATGGGTCATTACATGCGTGTGAAGCTGTCCTTAAGCGCTTTGTATTCGCATTTCAGAAGGACTCTGACAGCACATCCTCCATCAGGGTGGGGCTGAGGGCCCTTTAAGGGCCTCCCAGGGGCCCCGCCCAGTTTCGCTTTTCTAAACTTGCCAACCTGTCAAAGAGGAATCCCCTAAAATAACTGATCGTATAACTGATCAACAGAAATTATGAAAACTCTATCTATCTATATCTATCTATCTATCTATCTATTTATGTTTTTCTTTATTTTTAATGGAAATGTTTCACTTCATTTCACACTATTATCATCATTACCATCATCATTCATTCATTTATTCACTGATTGATTGATTGACCTAAATTCT